GTAGTAATATTACTCAAGTAAAATAAAAAGTACAAGTTCTCAAGTAAAATAAAAAGTACAATAAAGTGATTTTTTCCAGTTACTTAAGTAAATGTAGCTTACTGCACCTCTGCATGTTGTTAATGACTCTTAGCTACTACCACACCAAATATCAAAAGCTTTTCTCTAAAACTGACTGAGTTATAAACATGTTTGTGTAACAGTGAACAGTATTTTGCTGATTAATCTCTTCAAAGTAAAAGAGATAAAAGTCAAACACGTCTGAATCTCGTGGCCTCCTTGGGTCAGAGTCAAACATTTATTTGGTAATCTGCAGGGGAAAATGCCGAGTCACTTTACAAATGATTCAAAGGATTAAAACATCACTGTGTAAACACCAGGAGACATGCACAGACACTGCATAGGAGTGGAATGGCATCAAAACAAGAGAGTTTAATCTTCTTCCCTTATCAAAAACAAAACAAAAAAATTGTTTAATAAGGAGCAGCATCAAGAGGAGGAGAAACAAACATCGGGAGGATCTTCAGCTCTGCATTAATGTTCAAACATCATTGAGTTAAACCTAAAGATACAACAGCRCCCCCTGTCTGTGACACGTAGTAACAACCGTCCTGTCCTTAAAGAGTTAATTATATAAACACCATCCTTCATGACATCCGTCCTCTGAGGGTCTAATGACGCGAGGGGACGTGTGACGAAGCAGCTGCTGCCTCTGATTGGTCGAGGCGGTGCTGTGCCTCTCCGCTCTGCGATCCGGGGCTGCTCTCCTCGGAGCTGGACGGGTCGTAGAGGCCCAGGACCTGCTGCACCTTCAGAGGGAGCTCCTGCGACGGAGGGGGAAACGGTTCAGAGACGACATCATCGAGCCCGCTGATCTAACTGAGCCCAGAGTCTCACCTTGCAGCAAAGCAGCTGTTGATAAATGGCCTCGGCCTCGCACAGGATCCCCTGCAGGTCCAGCTTCATCGTCAGCTCGTTAATGTGCTGCGGATCAGTGGGGAGGAAGACGATGAAGRCCCGTTCGTTCACACATCGACCTGTCGTTGGTACTTTACCTTCAGAATGGTGTTGAAGTCGTGATCGGAGCCGATCAGCTCTCCTCTCTGCGACTCCAGGATGGAGCAGGCGATCAGGAGGTGGAAGTTGTCGCARGGCAGACGAGTCCAGAGGACCTGAGGAAGAAAAACAAAAACATAAACAACCTGCAGATGTTGGTTTTCTTATTGGTCTTGTTAAAATAAAATAAACTCACCTCCCACAGCGTGAGGATGTCCTCGAAGGAAAACTCTCTCTTGAACCAGATGAGCAGCCAGCGGAAACAGAAGCAAAGAGAGCCGCTGTCCTGAGAGTCTGAACAACAAATATAAACCTGTCAACTTAAAAAACAAAAAAASCACAACCAGCTCATTTATGAACTGAGTAGTTTTACAAAAAACCCTCAATGTTTTCCTGTGTATAGTTCCCCTTTCAAACTACTTCTGTTTCAAACTTTCTTACATCAGAACGGTCAAATTGTTCCTCCTCAGCTGCTTTTTTGTAACCGTCAGATTTTTCAACACATTTCACTTTATTTTAGATAAAATGCTGAAAAAACTGTCCATCTGACCAAGTTTTAAAATCGTATTTCCAGCCAAAAAAAAATATTTTTTTTGATCTTGTTGTAAGACTGATTTACTAAACGAACAGAATGAGTTTGATGATTTATCTTGTTAGCCTGGAAATTTGACTCAAATGAAGTGAAGAAATTCTGTTAACAGAGTACGATAATTTTACTTTGTAAGATTCTTGAAATACTTAATTTGACTCAAATATTACTTCAAGAATCTTACCAAGTAAAGTCAGCGTTTCTACAGTTTAAGGAAAGTTAAATTTAAGACTTTTTAATGTCAAGTGAAATTAAATTTAAGACCAACTTCACAATAAACCCAAATGACAAAAAAATAAATAAAAACTGGCAGAAACTCATGAATCTAAGTATTTTTGGTTGAAGTATTCAAATATTGCTAATAGACCAATTGATTTTATCCATATCTAACTAACAGAAACATTCCTAGCAGTCAGTTTTAAACTTAATTTATTTTCAGGAAATCATCTAACAACCCAAAGTTTGGAGTTTTAGGACCCACAGTGGGGTCTTAACCCCAATTCGCTGTAGATAAAACCTTAAAGTGCCWGTGAAATAAAATCTTTGTATGAAATTTGAATGCATTTTTGGAAAAACAACATTATTAACATATTAGAAAACAAATTTCACGTTGCTCAGATGGACAGTTGTTGAGATATTTGCCAGTGAAATAAAATCTTTGTATGAAATTTGAATGCATTTTTGGAAAAACAACATTATTAACATATTAGAAAACAAATTTCACGTTGCTCAGATGGACAGTTGTTGAGATATTTGCCAGTGAAATAAAATCTTTGTATGAAATTTGAATGCATTTTTGGAAAAACAACATTATTAACATATTAGAAAACAAATTTCACGTTGCTCAGATGGACAGTTGTTGAGATATTTGCCAGTGAAATAAAATCTTTGTATGAAATTTGAATGCATTTTTGGAAAAACAACATTATTAACATATTAGAAAACAAATTTCACGTTGCTC